GGTGTTGCTAGGCCACTGCATTCTGGGCAGCCTCTCGCCCGGGGCACGGAAGGGATTTCTGAGCAGGAACTGTGGAAACAGGCAGGCGTTGGCATGTGCTGCCGCCCCCAACTGGTAACCAGTGAGCAGAATGTCCCGGTGGGTGCAAGGCTGACATTCTCCTGGGAATGAGTGGCTGAGGGTCTTTTCCCGTCTGTCCCCAACACTCCGGGGCAGAGAGCCAAGACCTAGTCAGAAAGACGTTCGGGGGGCAGGGGCGGGCGGAGGGGGAGCAGCCTCTTTGGGCCAGGCAGAGTCCCCTCCCTCCAGGGAAGCCAGAGCGTGGAGATCTCTGTGCTCGCCCAGGGATGGTGTCCACATACCTGGCTCTTGTCAAACTCATCCGTGGCCTGTGCGACCCCATCGCGAAAATTCATCCCTATCACCCAGGCAAACCGAGGGACAAAGCCAGCATAACCTGGGGAAGGAGGAGCCAGGGCCCTGCTCCCAATCATGCCCATCTCCCCCCCCCCCCACCCGGGCATTCGCACCTGCTCCCGGGGGGTTAGGGAAGTCTGTCTGGGCTCCTCTCTCCCCCTAAACAGACAGGAATGGGTCAGCAGGAGCTCCCAGTCTCGGGGAGGGCCCTTGGGCAGCCTCACTTGCTCTCCCCAGGTCCTGCCTGGGCCCTTGGAGCCTTGCGGGTGCGTGTCGTGCCCAGGCCCCAGGCACCCACCTGAGATGGCCTTGCGCTGGATCAGGTCGGGGTGGTCCATCTGGGGCGGCCTGTGGAAGCTGCCCACATGTAGTGTCTCCCGCTGGTGGGCTGGGGCCGGGCACTCTTCCCTCCTGCAGGGGCACAGCTGGAATGGGGAGGGGCAAGTCAGCACCCCAGCCCCCACCGGGCTCTGGCTGTGGTGAGGCTTGATCCCAGTGCTCCCAGTGCGTCTCTCAGTTACCTGGTACTGCGTGGGGGCCTCACGGGCAGGGGTGGCGCTCATCCAGGCCTCTTCCCCTAATGCCAACCGCAGGCCCGGGTGTCCAAGGTCCCTGGAGTCCCCCTTCCTGCCCGGTGGGCAGGGAGGGTAGGGGGGGTAGGGCGTGAAGCCTGCAGGCAGTGGGACTTGCCTGGATACATTCTCTCCTCCCGGCGGCCCCTGGGCATCCACCTCCTGGGGTGGGAACCGGCCCAGGATCTCACAGTTTTTGTAGGGCTTCAGACCTGTATGGACAGGGCAGCCTTGAGCCACAGCGGGCATGGGGGCGTCCCCGGGGCTACAGGGCCGGTGGGCGGGCAGCGGCTTAACTGGTGTACTGGGAGACGCGGGGCTCTGTCAGTTCGCGGCAGGGCGTAAACGGTGGCTTGGACTCGCTGAAGTCCTCGATGGACTTGGGCTTGGCTATGGGGGACAGCACGGAGCACGGGCTCTTCGGCACGCTGGCGTCCGTGAGCAGCTGCGCCGTGGTGCGCCCATAGGTGTTCCCCACCTGGTAGCGCAGCTGCGGGTAGAAGCCGGCATAGCTGTGGAGGAGAGAGGAGCCGGTGTGGACCCAGCCTACTGGCCACAGGCAAGATCCGCGACCCGCCTACAGAATGGGGTCACAGCAGCACCTGCCGTCCGGGGCTCTTGGGGCTTGAATGGGCAGCACAGGCCAAGCACTGAGAACAGGGCTGGCCCACGGAAGGGGAGCTCTGTCATCACCACCATCAGGGTCCCATCCACCCAGCCATCTTCCAACAGCAAGGGTCTTAAAGATGAGGCAACGGGGAGCTCTGCCCCCCGAAAGCATTGCAGGGGTGGTCTGAGACACAGGGCAGCCCATTGTACACGAGTCGGTCCCGCCAGGAAGGTATGGTGGGCATTGGGCCCGGATGGTGGCCACCCGGGAGGCTGGCGGGAGGTGACACTTGAGCTGAGCGTCACTGAGGCCCGTGGGGAAGTGGTGTGGGCGCCATGGCTAAGCCCTGAGGGCGTCCACTGCTGCCCGGGGCCTGTGTAACGCCCAAGGGGGGTGCGTTGCTTTCCTCTTAGGAACTGCCCGAGAATGCAGGTTTGTCAGTCAGCTGCGCGAGGCTGGGGCTGAAGGTGAGAGCCTCTGCAGTGTCATCAGAGTTGGGTCTGGTTCTTCCCAGCCTTTTCCTTGTACGTGGTCTGAGTGTGTGTTGGTGTGCACACACACTCTGGAGGCCTGTTTCTATTCTTATTTATTGGGTTGTGCTGCACAGCACGCAGGATCTTAGTTCCCTGACCAGGATCCCACCCGTGGCCCTTGCAGTGGAAGCTCAGAGTCTTAAACACTGGACGGCCAGGGAAGTCCCCCGTTTCTGTTGTTGGCATGCGGGACACCTAGCAAGGTGGCCTGGCATCGGTGCCCATCAGTTTATTCCACATGCTCCTCTCCTCTTTATGTTTTTAATTTTTTTTTTTTTCGGCTGCTCGGCATGCAGGAACTTAATTCCCCAACCAGGAATCGAACCCGTGCCCCCTGCGGTGGAAGTGCAGAGTCCTAACCACTGGACCGCCAGGGAATCCCCAGTTCATCTCCTCTTTAAAGCGCGGAGTGCTCTATGGAAGGAGAGGCCAGCCTCCCCAGCTGTCCTCCCCAGCTGTCGCGCTGTCCCCAGTTTCTGCTCTCGACAGACGTGCTGGCCACCTGAGACGGCTGCTCCAGCAGGGCAGGTCGGCCGGGCCCTCTCGAGCCCACCCCAGCCCTCCCGCCTGGCCCCTCCGGCCCTCGGCCTCACCCCCATTTCCCTGGCCTTCCGGGTCCCCAGGCTCCTGCGCAAGGGCCTCACCCTCTGGCCTCAGCTTCCTGGAGACCCAGCTCTGGGGCCCCCCTCACAGCCGAGCAACCTTCAGCCCTTAGGCCCCGGCCTTGCTCCCCCATCCTCGGGGACCCCAGCCTCCCCGCAGGGCTCCAGCGCTTACCCAGGGATGTAGTGAGGTTCCGGCGGGAAGAGGTTGTGCTTCTGAGTAGCTGTCATCGCGCCTCAGCTCTGCCTGGGCTGCCTTCAGCCCCTCTCGTGCCTGCACCTGGCTCCATCCAGAGAGGAGTCCTTGTTGCCTGGCAACCATTGTGAAGAGGCCCGGCATTGTTGGGCAGCACCTGGGCCGGGCCCCTTCCCATACCCTGTGAGCACTCCCGCTTTCCGGAGGCCCGGGGAGGCGTCTCACTGAGGACAGACCTAGAGCTTGGAAAACGGGGACTGTAATTGCAGCCCAGTCGGTCCTGCTAGGTAGTGAGAGGCAGGGTTGGGTTTGAACGCTTGCTACTCGCAGGGGGCCAGTAGCCAACTGAAGGGCAGCCTCCCAGGGTGAGGCTAAGGGAGCCCCACCCCAAGCCCCCTCCTCAGATGCAAGGCCCTGGGCGCTTTGGAGGCATTGCCACAAGGTTCCTGAGCCGGGGAGCTGCTGGGACTCTGTCCTGGAGGGTCTTTCCCCTGGAGCTGGGCACTATTTTCCATTTTAAAGAAATCCTGATCTCTGTGTGTGTGTGTGTGTGTGTGTGTGTGTGTGTGTGTACGGAGGACTTTCTAACCATAAAAACGAAGAAAAATATCATAAAGGCAAGATTAGCAGGTTCAAATACGTGTCAAAAAAACAGTATAAACAATACTAAAAGGCAGACGACCAACTGGGGAAAAAGTTTGCAGCAAGTGTTATGTGCAGACGTGATATCAGTGGAAACAACCTTACAAAACAAACCTATGAAAAATTAACACCCCAACAGAAAAATACATGTGAAATGTGCCTATAGTCAACGAGGGCAGAGCCTCTGTCAAACAAATGCTGATGAAACGCTGATGCTGCAGTTCCTGACGCTCCTTTGCCAGCATGAGGACCGCCTCTAATTTGGGAGCACAAAGGCTGCACAGGCTTTGACCCACCGCTTCCACTTGGTGCGTCTGTCCTGAGGAAATGATCCATGTTTAGCTGAAGACAGGCGTGCACGTCATCCGCCATGGCGGATGGCAGTATTTGTTATAGGGAGAACTCCCAGCTGCTCACGCCCAGTGACAAGGGCTCTGACAAGCTATACCTGCATCTGTGGGTGATTATGCCCTCAGAGAACACCACGAACCACGGGAAGGGCCCCGGAGCACAGACTGGGAGCCCCCCGCCCCGATCAAAGGTGTGTTTCCTCAAGGAAGTCTCTATCTGTCTGCCTGTCCATCTGGAGCACCTCCCGAGGCCAGGCAGGGTCAGCGTCAGATGGGAGGGCTCTGGAGAGGAAGAGACGGGGGTGCGGAGGAGGAGACGTTCTTGGCCGGGCCCCACCTGGATGAGGCCAAGGCCAGGGCTGAGCTGGTTGGCTGGTCAGCTCTGGAGGGCGCCGCAGGGCCCGGTGTGCAGATGGACTCTCGCTCAGCCGGCCTCGTCATTGTCATTCCTTTGCGTTTCAGCCTCAGCAGCCTCAGCAGCCCCAGCCGTTTGTGATACCCTCCAGCCTCTGTGCCCCCAAGAAGACCGGCCTCCCCACCTCAGCCCCACCTGGGCCGCCAGGCCTGCCTCTGGGGTGGGCACGGTCCACTCAGAGCCAACCACTGTTGCTCCACTTTTCCGAGGGCTGGGTTTTCCGCGGGGGCTCCTCCTGCGCTAGGGAGTCTCCCTGGACCCTGCCCCCTACCCCCACGCCTCCTTCAGCTGGCCCTGCACAGCTAGGCGCCCCCTGGCCCCTGCCCCCTTCTCCACCCTCTGCCAGGGCCTCAGTCCTCCCCGAAGCCCTACTAGAGTGGACCCCAGCCCCCCAGGAGACCCCAGAGTCCAGGAGAGGGGAAGGGTTGGGGCAAGAAAGCGGGGAAGGGAGGAAAGATGGCCGAGCCAGGAGTCACGGGCGTGGGGCGGCTGAGGGCCTCCTGGCCACAGCTGACCTGCCTGGCCACCTGGCAGGTCAGGGGAAGGGCACCTCCAGGGCTGCTTCCCCAGGGAGTTCCCGGCAACAGGGTGGGGCCCATGACCAGCCAGCGAGGTCACAGAGCCCCGAGATGTCCCTGGGGGAGGGAGCCAGAGACCCTGACAATGAATTTTGACCAGAAGGCAGGTGAAATTCCTGGCAAATTTTCACATCAATGGAGGCGAACACTGGACCCATGGCCCCCTGAAGCAGAAGCCACTTGTGACTTCCCAGTAACTTCCCAGGGCGCTGGGCGGGCTGGGGGGCGGGCAGCTGGCGTAGGGTGGCTATTGGCTGGGGGCATGGTGGCCCCCAGGGGTGCAAGAGCTCCAGGCAGGCCTCAGGATGCTAACGGGCCCCTCCAGGAAGCCCGCCCACCTGCGCCCACAACCTGAGGGAACTGTGTGAGTGAGGGCTCTGGACCCCCAGCCCCGGGCCGGTCTGCGGAGGCAGGCCGGTTGGTGGAGGCCCGCCTGGAGGACCCAGGCCCAGAGCTTGCTTCCCGCCAGGGCTGGAGCGACGCCCTCCCGGCGTGACCGATCTGGGCGTCCCGGGCCCCACCAGGTACCGGGTGCCAGATGCTTCGGCGTGAGAGTCCTCCCCACTGCCCCACTCTTCACCATCGGCTCGCATGCACCCCACCCGTGGCGTGCGCCCTCCCCGAAAGCCCCCACTGTCCGCCCTCACCCCCGGAGTGGGACCCCGGCCACCAGCGCCCCCATGACGCTGCCCCCACCGCAGAGGGTGGTGGCTGCAGGGCGTGGCAGACCGTGTGGTTCCCGAGCGAAAGCCCCGTCACCCAGAACGACTTCAACCGGGAGCAGGTTTGCCCGGCGGGTCCTGGGGTGGGGGTGGGGGCGGGGCCCCCGAGGGAGGGGCCTGCGGCGACTTTGACCTGCAGTGGCCCTCACCCGCCGACTACCAGCCGCCCGGCCCGCCCGCCTGCCCGGCCTTCAGCTTCGGGGGTCGCCTTGCTCCAGGCCCCCCCGAGGCCCAAGCCCACTTGGGGATGCTGCAGGCCTGGGGTGCAGGGCCGCGGGCCCAGCCCCTCCTGCAGGCCCCTCTGTCGACGGGGTTAGCTCCATCGCCTACGACATCCCTCCCGGGTGCCGCCTGCCGGGCCCCCGCCCGCCTGCTTTCTGCGTGAGCCGCGCGCCCCTGCTGGTCTCCTGGGTGGGCTCCTGTAAGGAGGTGGGCGGGGGCGGGGGGGAGGTGGGCACCGGGCAGAGGGGGCGGGCGCGGTAACTGCGCCCACCTTCCCTCTGCAGCCTGTACCCTGGGCCCGGCTGCCTATGGCGTGGAGGACTACTACAACTCTCACCTCCCCTCCGCACACGGGGGTGGCCATCCAAGGCTTGCGGAGGCCCAAGTGCCACGACACCGGCCCCTTCTGCGCGCTCTCGAGTCCAGTGGGTGCAGCTGGCCCACCCAGTTAGCACATGAATCCCTGGCCTTCCGGGCCTGAGGGCCTTCCCGGGCCTCCCCCTGGAACTCAGTGCCCCCAGCCTGGCCTTCTGACCCTCTGGGCACCCGTGATCCACCCTCCGGGCCGGCCAGCCCCTCTGACCTGTGGACCCAGCCTGGAGCCCAGCCTGGAGCCCCACCTGCCCACCCCCCTTGTTATGTAGAGATGCTGTCGGTTCTTCCGAATTCTGTGCTGTGCTTGGTGGCCTTGCCTGGTGAGCTGAGCTGCAGATGTGGCCTGCAGCTAACCTGTCATGTCCGGCTTTCTCTGGCCAGGGATCCCCCTTCACTTCCCCTTCAGTGCTGTCTCCTCTGGGGGGGGGTGGCCTGGGGCAGGGTGGGAGGGAGCCCTGTGGGCAGTGTGGGACACCCCCATCCAGCCATGCCATCCAGGAGAGGGTCCGGCTGCCAGTCTACCCAAGGATCAGGCTGCTTGCCGAGCCGAGGAACTGACCGTTGCAGTGGAGGCGGGGGGCAGTCTTGAGGTAAGGTCAGCCTGCCCGGCCACCAGGTAGGGCCCAGAGGAACAGGTCGTTAGGGCCCGGCCCCCCTTCTTCCCGTACCTGCCCAAAGACCCTGTGAACTCACACGGGGCCGTGCAGGCCAAGCTGCAGCCGATAGACTCCCCAGGCTTCACTGTGCGGCCCGGCCCCTGCCCACAGCAGCAGCCTGGCCACTGGACTCCTTGTCACCATGGACCCGCCCTCCTACCCAGGGGTCGGCCCCAAGGCTGCCTCCCTGCAGGGGCCTCACCTGCAGCTTGTGGTGGCTCCTGTCTCTGCACCAATTTCCCCAGGGGTCCTCCCTGTGTCACCCAAGCCCTGGGCCAGGCCCCCTTCTCTGTCTCCTCTAAGCTCAACCCCTTCAAACAGTCACCACCCAAGAGCTGCTCCCGTGGTGTTGGCGTCATCCCTTTCCGCAGGGAAGCCGAGGACAAGTGAGTCTGAGCGTCGTGCACCTGTGACCTCCTCCAGGGCTGAACCAGCTGGGGGTCAAGCCCCAGCACCCTCGGGAATCAGAGCAGTGGGACTGCAGACTGTTGGCACTGAGCCCTGGGCTGACCAGCTCAGGCAGCGGGCAGCAGAGACAGACCTGGGGCACTCTGGCCTTGGGAGTCTGGCCCAGCGTGGGAGGACCAGGAGCCCTCCTCTCAGCTGCACCACAAGCAATCCCTAGGTCTCAAAGCCAGGAGTGGGACCAGCAGGAAGGATGCAGCAATCCCTTGAGCTGGGCTGAGGAGGGAGGGCTTTCCGGAGGGGGCTTTCAAGGATGAGTTTGCTGGGCAGCAGGAAGGGAATTCATGGCAGAGCAAACCTCAGAAGCCAAGGCACATGAAAAGGGAGAGGGTGTGATGTTTGGTGTGGCCAAGCTTGGGAAGACCCCGGGCTGTTGGTTTAGAAGGAGGTGAGCTGGAGGGATGGAAAAGCTGCAGAGGGCCGCGTGCTGGGTCCGGGGGCTTGCATGCTTGGCAGTGGAGAGCCCACGGAGGGTGCAGGGCAGGCAGTGACTGCTGCAGGCACTGTATGGGCATCTTGCACTGCAAGAGATGAGGGACACCATGGAATCCAGGGCTCACATGTGCAGCGAGTTGGGCTGGACCTCAGCCTGAGGGCCTAACACTTTTGGTTAGCAAGGGGGATAGATGCTCAAGGTGACAAGAGGACAGCCATCCTTTGTCACTCTGTCACTGCGTGTCCAGGTCTCTGCTAGGCACTCTCTATTTGAGGCAAACTTAGTTTTTTTGTTTTTTTTTTTTAAGTAAATTTATTTATTTACTTTTGGTTGCATTGGGTCTTCGTTGCTGCGCACGGGCTTTCTCTAGTTGCGGTGAGCGGGGCGGAGGGGGGCGGCTACTCTTGGTTGCGGTGCGCGGGCTTCTCATTGCCGTGGCTTCTCTTGTTGCAGAGCACGGGCTCTAGGCGTGCGGGCTTCAGTAGTTGTGGCACCGAGGGCTCAGTAGTTATGGCGCATGGGCTTCGTTGCTCCGCAGCACGTGGGATCTACCCGGACCAGGGCTTGAACCCGTGTCCCACGCATTGGTAGGCGGATTCTTAACCGCTGCGCCACCAAGGAAGTTCCCACACTTAGGTTTTGGTCTTTGTGACAACACTACGGTGTGAGCTTCGCCGGGTTGGACAAGGAAGAAACCAAGTTCCAGGATGAGAGAGGGTCGTGCACCTGGTGGGCGCTGTGAGGTCAGCAACAATATTTTTCATGATTATTAAAACGCTCTTGTTTAAAATAGCAGCTATGAATCTCCTGAAGCAGGCCGTGGCACCCCGCCCCCTGTGCTCCATCCCCCTCCTCCGGTGCCCCCTCCCCAAGGCGCCCCGCGGCACTCCGCCCTCCCTCCGCGCCAACCCTGTTCTCCTTTGCCGGTAAACGGCTGCAAGCGCCGCGAGGCTGGGCGGGGTCGCGCAGGAGGGCGGGGCCCGGGTGGGCGGGGCGGGGCTTCCTCGACGCCCTGTGCGTCGTCCTGGCACCGCCTTCGCGCTCCGTCTCCGCCAGGCGAGGGCCGCGGCGCAGTTGCCGGGAACCTCTGCGGGGCGGCGGCGGCGTTTCCGGGGAGCCGGTTGGCGGGCGGACCCGGCTCCTGTGCGGGGCGGAAGTGGGCGGCTGCGGTCCGAGGGGATCCGCGCTGCGGGCGGAATCTGGCCGAGCTGGAGGGCGCCGGGGAGCGGAGCTCGGGCGGCCCCCGAGGCCCGGGCGAGCGGACAGCTGCGGGGCCTGCGGCGAGCGCGGCGGTGCCCGGGGAGCGCGGAGGAGATGGGGCGCCGAGCCGGATTGGGGCCGGGGCGTCGGCCATGTTCGCGGGGCTGCAGGACCTGGGCGTGGCCAACGGCGAGGACCTGAAGGAGACGCTGACCAACTGCACCGAGCCGCTCAAAGCCATCGAGCAGTTCCAGGTGGAGCCAGGTGGAGGAGGGGCCGGGTGGAGAGGCCGAGCGTCTGGGTGTGAGTCCGGCGTGGGGCGAGGTCGCGTGGGAAAGCGGGCAGATTTCTCTTCCTCCCGATCGCTGCGTCTTTTTCCCGGGCTGGAGGAACCAAGTGTCCTGAGTTGAGACTACGTCGACGGATATCTGAGTGGTTTCCAATTTTTGCAGTTACAGCCAGCGCGGCTGGGAACATCCTTGTCCCTGCCTCCTTGTGTACTCAGGGCATCCGGAGTGCCTGGCCAGACGGGGCTGTGGCTGAGGTTTCTCTTGTCGCCCGAAGAGTCAAATCGAGCTCCGCTTCTTTAGACAGAAAATGGCGTGCTGCTGCCCTCCCTGCAGTCGGCCTTGCCCTTCTTGGACCTGCATGGGACGCCCCGACTGGAATTCCACCAGTCAGTGTTTGATGAGCTTCGGGACAAGCTGCTGGAGCGCGTGTCAGCCATTGCCACAGAGGGGAAGGCCGAGGAGAGGTAAGTGGGCGGTGAGATGGGCGGCCCCCTCCCCAGCTCGGGAACTGAATGTGCCCCGGTGGCTACACATCCCTACTAAAAAAGGGGCCGCCTGTGCACATCACCCACCGGTCTGGGGACAGGCAGGGAGCTGCTTCCGACTTGGTCCTGGGCTGCTCCCTCAGTGCTGAGAGTCCTTCCAGGTACAAGAAACTCGAGGACCTTCTGGAGAAGAGCTTTTCTCTGGTGAAGATGCCATCTCTGCAGCCAGTGGTGATGTGCGTCATGAAACACTTGCCCAAGGTAACAGCCGCAGGACCAGCTTGCCCTGGGGAGGTTTCCTGAGCTGCCTGCCTCAGGAACAGCAGCTCCGGAGCACGTTCCCCACGCTGGCTTCTCCCTGAGCCGAGCCGCGCATTGACTGAACCTTGGCACAAGCTCTGGAGCGTGGCGCCCTTTCTGGGAAAAAGCTGTTTGTGGGCAGCACAGCTCCTGCCCCGTCAGAGCCTGGGGGGCCAGTCACGGGTGCCGCTGTCAGTTGGGGCTGGGCTGGCTGTGGCCTCTGCTGTGGGGGGCTGAGGCCTGCCGGCTTGTCTTGAGGGAGACCCCTGGGGCACAGGTGCTGCTCACAGGTGGGCTCCGGGGTCACGTAGGTTCCTGAGAAGAAACTGAAGCTGGTGATGGCCGACAAGGAGCTGTACCGGGCCTGCGCCGTGGAGGTGAAGCGGCAGATCTGGCAGGACAACCAGGCGCTCTTTGGCGACGAGGTCTCCCCGCTGCTGAAACAGTACATCGTGGAAAAGGAGAGCGCGCTCTTCAGCACGGAGCTCTCTGTCCTGCACAACTTCTTCAGCCCTTCCCCCAAGACCAGACGCCAGGGCGAGGTGAGGCGGGGCGGGAATGTGTGCAGGGCCTCCCCCGTGAAGCCCGGCTTGTCTGCTTCTAGAAGGCTGGGCTCGGATGTGGGGCTGGCAAGGGGCATTGCAGCACTGCTCCTGGGTGTGGGTCTCTTTGGTCTTTTCTGCGTACTTTGAGCGCGGCAGCTTAGCCGGCCTCTTCAGCTAAGCTCTCTGTGTCTTCTTTCAGCCCTGGGAGTTTTTCTCTGTTTCTGTGTTTGATTCATTCCTTGCTTCAACAAATGCTTTTTTTTTTTTTTTTTTTAAATAAATTTATTTATTTATTTATGGCCCTGTTAGGTTTTCGTTGCTGTGCGCAGGTTTTCTCTAGTTGTGATGAGCGGGGGCTACTTTTCGTCGCTGTGCGCAGGCTTCTCATTGTCGTGGTTTCTATTGTTGCAGAGCACGGGCTATAGGCGCACAGGCTTCAGTATTTGTGGTACACGGGCTCCGTAGTTGTGGCTCGTGGGCTCTAGGAGCGGAAGCTCAGTAGTTGTGGCGCACGGGCTTAGTTGCTCTGCGGCGTGTGGGATCTTCCTGGACCAGGGCTCGAACCCGGGTCTCCTGCGTTGGCAGGCGGATTCTTAACTGCTGCGTCACCAGGGAAGCCCAACAAATGCTTTTAGGGTGCTGACTCACTGCCCTGGCCCCTGGACCCTTCAGTGACCCCTGGGGTACTGGGGCACCTGCCTGGGGGTACTGCAGGCTCATGTGGGGCGGACCCTATGCAGTAGGTGTCACATTTTGGTCCCTGAGAGCTCCGGGGGTAGAGGAAGGCTGTGGAGACGGGGGACGGGGTGGGGGGGGCGCCACAGAGCGTTGGGGGGGTGGGGCGGGGCTGGAGGCCACCGTGGACACTTTGACCTTTCCTGGTGAGGTGGGGGTCCCTGGCCCGGCTCCAGGATGACCCCTCAACCTGGGAGGGAGGTGATGGTACGAGGCCAAACGTTGGCCGAGGAGCGTTTGAGGTTTCGCCGTGTTCTTTCACCGCCAGCCTTCTCACCTGGGGTTTTGTGTGTGTGGCCTGAGGTAGGGCCTCACCTAATGTTTTCTCTCAGATGTTGGGCTGGTGCTTGCAGCACCACTTCCTGGACAGGCCGCTGAGTGTGTCAGAGCCCTGCCTGCGTTGCCTCCCCTTTCGTTTGGGGGAGCCTGGCCTTGGGCCGTGGTCCTGCCCCTTCTTCACTCTCCCCTCCAGGCCAAGGGTCCGCCTTGGAGTCCTGCCAGTGTAAAGGGAGAGCGCGGTGGCAGGTGACACGTTGCCCCGCCGTCCTCGGGTGGGTTAGGCCTTGGGGCTGTGGTTCTGTGCCCAGCAGGCCAGGCCGTGGTCAGGCTGGAGTGCGCGCCTGTCTCCGTGTTAGAGGTGTCGGTACGTCGGTGCCGAGACTCGGGTGATGTTCTATGCCTGCCCCACTTGTCGGGGTACCAAGGCCTGCTGGTGGGTCCTCGGCAGGGGCCCTAAGGTGGGCTGCCGTCCCTGCTGACCTCCCCACTTGCTGCATGCAGCCTGTTGGGCTGCCTTGGTGTCTGTCACCCCAGGTGGCCCCGTGCATCCTTACGGCCAGTGTGCCCCAACCGGGGCCCTCTCCTGTTGGCTGCCGCCTTGGCAGGAGCCTCCCAAATAGGGGCAGGGTGCGGAGGGGGGTGGCGGCGGCCGCCG